CTGGGGGGAGGGGTCCATGCCAAGTTGTAGAGAGGGGCTCCAGTAGATTGAAATCTGCATAAGTAGTAGATGAGCCTTAGACATTTTTTACTAATACTCACCATAATCCCCCAACTTCCCCAAGGTACATTATTTAAAAATTACAAGAATATTCTTGATATAAAATAACAATTTTACCAGCCTTAGAAGAAAGAGCCAAAGGTTAGGTCAATATTTGGTTCACCCCTTCAAAGGTCCTCTTATGACAAGGACCAACATTGAACAAGAGCCCTTATAATTGTTTACTGTTCAATTTTTATCTTTAAAGATGATGGTTTTGATATTTTACATAAGAAATCAATGGTATAATGTAATTGATGTGATAGCAATCTAGGGCTTCCAGCTCCATCTATGGGTCATCTAGCTCAGAACCAAGATGCATTCTCAGAAGGGAATGTGCTTATGTTTTTTTCCCTATTAGGTTGACATTTGACAGTCTAGTGCATCTTGTTTGCATCATTCTTTCTACATCTAATCTGTAGATTTCTACCATCAGCTACTACCTCTCTTGTTATTAGGATTTTGCTTGACTAGAATGAAATTGATGCTCATTGTTTCTGTAGAGAAGATGGGGCATTTGGCCCATAGACTGTCATTTTATGTTATGTTATGTTTCTCTYTGTTGTGGGCCTTATTCTGGGCCCATACTCTGTAATAGTCTGTTTTTTGTATTTTCCTGCYCACYCAAGGGCCTCTCTGTAATTTGTAAAAGATTAACTTATTAATAAGATGTTTAGAGTGTTAGAGAGAGGTTATGTTCGAACCTCTTACTCTCTAACACTCATTGCCGCCAGCTCTCTCTTCTCTTCCTCTCTTGTTTGTTCATTTTCTGGTTTGCATCTAATATCAAACAGTTCCATGCATCAAGTGGGTTGTTTTTCAACTGTTTCTTGATATTGATGCAGTTGTCTGTGTGGTGGAGCTACTGGTCGGGACTATGCATGATCTAGTATCAGTGGTCACAGCTGAGGTCGATACAAGGAAGATCTTGTGAAGAGAACTGAGCATGAAAAGCATGACCTGCATCAGTAATTTTGCATAGCCGTTACAAAGCCCATACAGATTCCTTTAAACTATATACCATGCTCAAGGAAACCATACAGGATAAGATTTCTATTTCAGAAAGCAAGCAACCAACACTGAAAGATTTCTCTTTCATTACAAGGCGTTATATGGTCAAAGTAATTTTGCATATATCCCTCAATTTGATGGTCACAATAATTGTCTTCAAAGCAAAACTGACTTGTTTATTCGATAATAGGTTCAGGGTGGTTTTGAATGTATCTTTGAGATAGTAACTTTTTTTGATCAATTTGAGATAGTAACTTCTACTAAAGGTGTTAGAATCCTAGTGGAAAGCTTGCGCTGTTCATGTGGAAAAGCAAAGATACAGAGCTATCATGTACTAGGCATTTATCTTTTCTATGTATTCTTCTATTAACAATTAATCCATTGTTAATGATAATGATCCTAGTATTATAGTTTGTCATTTTCCTCATTTGAGGTATGGAAACTGGGTGAGAACCCAATCTGTGCTCTCAAGGAGAAAGGATTAGCTGAATGCAATAGCTGTTCAGCAGGTTGTGGAACCAATGATAAAACTCCATGCCAATAATAAAATACGTGGGACCCATAACTATTTAACTTTTTACTGTGGTTCCATGTATTTTATAGCTGGCGTGGGGCATTATCATTGATTCACAGCCAGCTGAAGAGCCATCCCATTCAATTAACCTGAATTCCCTCTGGAGTGGGCAGTGTTGGAGCAGGCAGAAGTGCAAAGAGGTTCAGGATCTGCCACAGCAGCTGAATCCGAAGGTGTGTGCATCTCTGGATCAAGTAACGCAGTTATTGGTTGAATATGGGTTTAACTATGATGCCGGAAAGTCATGATACTGAAAAAACTTACAACCAATCAACCAATATGATAAAAGTAGGAACCAATCAGGTGGGTTTTTACCAAAATTCATGGGGGGTATGATTGCTCAAAGCCTTTCTGGTATCATGTCTTTCTGGCATCATAGATTTTTCCCGCAAATATAGATGCATCCAAAATTTAATCATGGATTTGGCACTCGGCAGAATGGAACGGTGAAATTAGATTCATGTAGCTGACCCATATAGTTGGGGAAAGGCTTAGATGATGATGATGATGGCTTGGTGAATAGTGATGACTATTGTTAGGAGTTCGGATCTCCTGCCAACAAAGTACGTTCCAGTACCCTACCAACGTCATGGTGAGATGTGCGGTGTGAGATCATTTTGGTAGGCTGTTGGAACGTGTTTTGTTGGTGGGAAATTCCAACTCTATTGTTAGAACATAACAAAAACAAAGGTGTAAGATCCAAAATAACCATCACATTAATTGAGTGCTTATAGTCATCAATCAGGTTTTCACTTGACAATCCTTGATCAAGGGAATCTCAGTTCACCATCTCTTAGATTCGGATGGGACTAAATGGTTGAACCAGTGGCCCGGTGATCTAGTGAGCTTTTCCAAGGAAGAATATGTATATACAGTTTGAAAAGAAGCTCCAACTCCTAGCAAACAAGTATACATGCGTTGTTGATGACCAAGTAGATTTTTACTACTGCAATGTTGTTGAAATATATGTGTTTTTTTTTTAAATATTGTTGAAATAGATGTTTTGCACTCCGCTCTTTCATAATCCATTCTAAAACAAAACAGAGAAATACCAATCAGATTATCTTTGAACCAGCAAGCATGCCCATCTGCAAAGGGTTGAATAGAAATTTGATTGAGTTTGGTTTGATAACTTTTGGGTTTTGACATCAAATTGGGTCCAGGTGAGGTTTCATTTTTGGTTGTTATGAGTTGGCCCTTAGCTTCATATTTGTATGTATAAATATTATATAAACATTTATATATGTATGTACGTGAAACTATGCATCTAATGTTTGCATGTAATTATATATCTATATGCATGAATGTATATATGTATGATAACAATTTTAAGTTTAAAAGAAAAGTTTTTAATAACACATCCATAATAGGGGTCCAGAATCGAAAATGGAATGGTTCATTTGTTTGGTTGGGTGGAATCAGAATTCTATTCCCATTCCTGATGGAATGACATTTCCTTTCCCTTCTATGGGAATGAGAATTCATTCCAGCCAATTCTGATTCCAATTCGATAACAAATGAGTGGAATAGACCATTGCAATTCTAATTTTGATTATCAAGCTTCAATTGTGAAGCAAATGAATGGACCCTGAATTCACATCAACATTTGAGTCTATAAGAAATAAGTAAAATTCCCAAATAACACCCTGTACTTTGGGCCTAATGTCACTTTGGTCCCCAAACTTTAAAATGCAACAATTCAGTATTTGAATTTTATATGTCAATCAAATACCTACCGTTAACCAGCTGTTAAGTGTCATTTGAAAAAGACACAAATGCCCTTTGAGTATCACCTAATTTCCTTTATCAACCATCCAAACGTTGACAAAAAATTAACAGTCCTAAATCCTTGCCTCTTTTATTCAAGAAAGTTTGAGTCACATCTCAATGGGCGTTTTGGACCCCAACTTTCTTGAATAAATGAGACAAGGATTTATGACTATTAATTTTTTTGTCAACGCTTGGATGGTTGATAAAGAAAATTAAATGACACTTGAAGGACATTTATGTCTTTTTCAAATGTTACTTAACAACTGATTTACGATAGGTACTGGATTGATACAATTTGAAAATTCGAATATTGATTTGTCGCATTTTAAAGTTTGGAGACCAAAGTGACACTATCCTCAAAGTACAAGGTACTAATAGGGAATTTCCCCTAAAAAATAAGAATACTTGACAAAAAGGAAGGAGAGAAATCAGGGCCAATCCCAACTTTCGGTTAGGGTTAGGATTGAAGGTTTCATAGGTCGGGTCGGGTTTGGGTCGACTTCAATTGGACCTAACCCGGCCCGACGTGCACCCCACCCCAGGTAAATATATTGCCACCCCCGATAGGGGATGGTCGTATTCGTGCTTCCCTTTTGTTCTGTACAAGCAGAAGCATCGGGCGCTGGGGGATGTTCTAATCAAACAGTTGAGGGCTTAACGGCAAAACTTCAGTTGTCATCCTAAGGACCATGACTGCACCACCCATCCCTTGCCCTACATTCCTTTCGTCACCGAAACCCTAGATCGTCGAAACCATTATCTATCGGCGTCTCGTAGTGTTTCTTCTTCTTCCTTTTCTTGTTTGTTGTCTAAGACAGAGAGTCCAGATCCTTTGCTCCAAGGAAATCTTCTTCCAGCCATGTCTCAGGTATTTCGAATTATTCCCTCCTTATCTTTCAATCTCATTCCATTTGTTTCTAAGATTATGACAGTCGAACCGTCTTCATTTTAATTTTTTTTTTTTTGTTTTACACATTATCTGCCAAATTTATGCATCATTTCTAAAGCCGCGTCTTTCATTGCAAACCTTGTCTCCTTTCCAGTCATTTCTTGGCTAGATAATTCCTGTTCAACCGTGTTTGCATTGCTGCAAACTTTGAATTTGATGATCTTTAAGTTTCTCTGTCTCCGTCCCTCATCTCTTTTATTTCTTCAATGGTGCGCTCGAGAGAGTTTATTCTTTAGCAAATTAGGGTTTTTTCGAATACAGAACTCGGGATTCTTGCCTCATTTGATCCAATGTGTTGTTATTGTTTTTTCCTGTTATTAATAGTTTGATATACGTTGCAATGCGTCGTTCATCGGTTTTGGTTTTGAAAATGATGAGAGTTATCGTACACCGCGCTTTTTCCTAATGATTATTTTTTTTTTCAGGTGGATAACAGAAATTCTTCATCAAGCAAGCGTGCTCGAACTGATGGTATGCTCGGTCTTGGTTTCTTTGAGATCTATTTTATTTTGGATTTCCCCTATCATAGTTTTTTCAGGATAACTATCAATCTATTAGCAATTTGCCAAGAGGAAGAATCACTTTCATTAAGAGTGTTTTGGCTAGTTTACCGTCATATTATCTTTCTTTGCTAAGGATTCCTACTGAAGTGGCCATGAAAATTGAAAAAGTTTAAAGAGACTTCCTATGGGAAGGAGTAGGGGGAGTTAAAAGATTCCACTTAGTCAAGTGAGAAAAGGTATGCAAACCAAAGGAGGGGGGGGGGGTTGGGGCTGAGAAGGGTAAAGCTGATGAACAAAGCACTTATAGGGAAGTGGTTGTGGAGGTTTGGGCAAGGAGAGAGAGGGAGGCTTTGTGGAGAAGGATGGTTGTCGGGAAGTATGGAGTGATAAGATTTAGATGGGAATCAAAGGAAGTGAGGAGATCCTATGGGGTGAGTTTCTGGAAAGGAATTATGAGCTTTAACCAAGAATTCAGGAGTTTTGTCAAATTTAGAGTGGGGGAAGGCTCAAGGGTGAGGTTTTGGGAAGATGAGTGGCTGGAGATAGGGAAGTTAAGTGAGGGGAGCTCAATGTTATGAGTGGAGAGGGGAGCAACTGATCTGGAATCTGAAGTTTAGAAGACCTTTACTAGATCAAGAAGTGGAAGAATGTATACTACTGTTGGAAAAGTTAGAAGGACTAACATTTTAGGAGGTGCAGAAGATGGTCTCTGGTGGAAGGAATGTAAGGAGGGCAGATTCACAGTTAAGTCATTCTACAAAGCATTAATCAAAGAAGAGGGGGGCTCAGTCCAGATAAATGGAGTTTGGGGGAATCCAATACCCCCAAGGGTAGAGGCCTTTGCATGGTTGGTGGCACATGACTCACTACTGATCATCTGAAATCTAGGGGATTTCATATGGCAAGCAGGTGCTATTTATGCAAGGAGGAGGAAGAAACTGTGTTCCACTTGTTCTTCACATGCAGCATAGCGAGCTTCACATGGAAGTTCTTTTCCTTTTTATTTGGGATGTGTGGCTTCCAGCCGTTAGATCCAGCAGAAATATTTTCTATGTGGCCATACTTCAGAGGAAGTAAGAAAGCCAATATTGTTTGGAGCTGCATCCCTTTTGCAGTATGTTGGGTCTATTTGGAGGGAGAGAAACAGAAGAGTATTCGAGAATAGGGCCAACAATATAGAATACCTGATAGCTTCAGTGTCCAATCTGATATCAGAGTGGGTCCTTGGGCTCCTAGATTTTGATCAAGTCTCCTAAGTTGATTTATTGGAAAATTTCTGGAATTCACTTGAGTTACAGCCTTGTAATGTAAATGTATTCTCAGTTTAATGTTCTGGACATGTAATTGAAGTATGTACTTATGTTGTTAGTGTGTCATCTAGACAACCAATGTGATACAGGATGTAACCTTTTCTTTTAATAAATTTTCTTTCTTCTTGATTCTTCAAAAAAAAAAAAAAACTAATACACTGACTATGACTATGATGTTGTCCTGATTCTGATACTAATATATTTTTCTTCTTTCTTTTTTTTTTGTCATCTTTTTGTTTCTTTAGAAATATGTCACTTGGTGAATATTTTTAGATATATGCTGCTACACAGAACGGAATACTTTTTATATTTCAGTATATATTTATAGAGCATGTAGAACTAGAGTGGGGGAGGAGGGTTTGATGGAAGAGTAGAAGAATCTTGAGGAAGATGGAGAGTGAGGGGCAGGTGGGAGGTAATACAGGCATAGAGGCTTCATGTAGCAGGCTAGAGGATGGGATGGGGAGGATAGGGAGTTGAACAGTTGGGTTGTGGGAGAAGAGGAAGAAGAAAATGATGAGGTGGCAGGGGAGAAATTAAGAGATGGACACATGGGTGATCTGAGCATAGGTGGACAAGCGAGAGATGTCCATGCGGAGGAGGTGAGGTTTAAGAAGTTAGAAGATCAACATGTAGTATGTGGTTTTCACACAAAGCATTTTAAATGTGGTGGCCACCACTTAAAGAATTTTGGTAAGGGGTTTAAGAATCTCAATCAGCACAAGTGGTTGCGGGTGCTTAGGGGCTTTTGTGGGAAAGATAGTTGGATTGATTGGTAGGAGAAAACATAAGGACAAATGGAAAAATTTAGGTCGAGAAAGTTCATATGATGAATGGGTTTGGGTGATTGCGAGATGTGAAGGAGGAAAGAAGATTGTCTCGACCAATGGCGATGAAGCAAAGAAATATGGGGAAACCAATGCACGATCAATCGACCAGAAACTGAGAAGAGCTTTAGTGTTTGAAGAGGTGGTGGATTCTCAAGATCACAGTTTTGATTGTGGACAGGTTGGCATCTCTTCGAGCCAAATCATCTTGCCAACTATGGTGCAATGTCAATAGCATGATACTGATAGTGGGAATAGAGTGTTGAGGAATGCAGGGATTGAAGGTGTCACCAAGCTAAATTTTGATTGAAACAGTCTAGGCAATCCAGGGCCATTAGGGATTGGGGGAGTTTTCAGAGATGCATAGGGACAGATTATCGCTTTGTTTTTTGGTCCTATTGGAGAGATGGATTCAGTTTAGGGGTGCTCATGGTTCGGTTAACCAACCGAACTGTGTTGCCGAACCGTGGGGCTTTTTTTAACCAAACCAGAACCGAAACCAGTCGGTTAACTGGTTGACCGGTTCAGTTAACCATCGGTTTTTCAGTTTTTTAATTTTTACAATATATATTATAAAAATATATATAAATATATAATAAAAAAATTCTAAATATATATTTATATATAATGCATATTTATTAATTTATAATATATAAAATATATAGAAATATATGTATACCAGTCGGTTCGGTTAACCGCTGGTTTTTTATATTGGTTAACTGAAACCGAACCGACCGGTTTGGTTAACCGATTTTTTGGTTTGATTTTGGTCGGTTTTTTTGGCCGGTTCGGTTTTTCGGTTTTTTTGCTCACCCCTAATTCAGTTAGTGCGGAAGTCCATGCAGTTCTATGAGGAGTAGAGATTGCTAAAGAGCTGAACATTGAACAATTATTAATTGAAGGTGAGTCTAAATTAGTAATTGGGTGGCTGAATAATCCAGAGAAAGTGACCAGATCATTTAGGGGAGCATTGAGGATATTTAAATGGCTAACTACAAATATCTCTGCCAGTTTTCAATGGGAAAGAAGATTGGCAAATGGGATGGCAGACTGTCTAGCAAAGCAAGGGTGCATCGGGATCAACAACTCTTTTGGGCTATGTTGTAACTTTGAGGGTTTTTGCAGGCAGCATCTCACGCCTCTTGAGGGAAGCGTTATCATTGTACTCCTTCATTTATCTTTATTATTTAATAAAATCGCTTTACTTATCAAGAAAAAGGAATGAAGGGATTGGCGATAAGGAGAAAGATAATGCCAACCAGGTGGACTACTCAAACAACGATAGGAAGGAAGGAGATTGCTGAGCCTGGGTCAAGATCTTTAGTTTAGAGATTGTTGCTTGTCTGAATAATGAGGTAAGTTTGAATAAACTGTTTGATTCAAAAACATTGGAAGAAGTCAATAGGATAAGGGAGGAGGAGGTAATTGGAGCTGAAGATGAGGGTGAGAGGGGAAACAAAAAAAATAGAAAGATTTAAAATCTGGAAGAAAGTTGTGGACAGTAGGAAAGGGCTTACAATAGAAAAAGAAGAATAATAATCAAGGATTTAAAGATGATGGTGGTGGGAAGGGGGAGATGAGAGAGTTGGAGGCATTGGGAGAAGGGATAAAGGAGGGGAGCGAGGAGTTTGTGGCCCTATAGGGGGAGGAGGTTTCTAAAGAGGGAGGTTTAGGGGAGAAGAGGGTGGAAATTGAGAAGATTATGGAGAGACAGGTGGAGGTGTGTAAATCGCTTCGGTTTTTGTTTTATTTTATTTTATTTTTTGGGAGGGGAGAGGGTGGTTAGAAGGGCAATTGAGTAGTTTGAAAGAAACAAAAGAGAAGAAAAAAAGTTATTGGGTAGGGGGAGAGGAATCGGAGATAGGAGAAGAGGTTGAGTTGGATGTTATTTGAAGAAATAGATAAATGGTCGTGGAGGTTGAGTTGGAAATGAGGTTGCCATCCTAGAATGTCAGGGGTTTGAGAGACGGAAGAAGGGTGTTGGTAAGGAGTGTAGTGAGAAAATTCAATCCAGATGTGTTAATGCTACAAGAGATGAAGCTGGAAAATTTTGATTTAGGAGTGAAGAATGAAATCTGGGTTATGCGGTAACCTGGTGCACTCGGGTGGAAGCTTTTGCTTGGCTAATAGCTATGGGTAGTGTGTTGATAGTGGATCACTTGAAGACAAGGGGTTTCAGTATGGCCAACATGTGTTACTTGCATAGAGAAGAAGAGGAATCAATCATCCATCTCTTTTTTACATGCAAAATCACAGGGTTCTTGTGGAACCTCATCTCGTCTATCTTAGGTGTTAGAAATTTTCAGCCAAGGACACCTGAAAATTTTTGCTCATGGCCAAGAATCAGAGGAGGGAGGATGGCTAGAATAATCTGGAGCCTTCATTTGTTATTTGCTGGAATATTTGGAAGGAAAGGAATAGAAGATTTTTTGAAGACAAGGAATGGAAGCTGGGCAAGTTGGTGGCGGCTGTTGGCAATTCTGTTGCAGATTGGGCTTTGATCTTACCAGAGTTTTCTCTGGTCAAGAGAGAAGACTTAGGAAAAAGCCTATGGGAGGTGGTGGGGTTACAAAATTGTATTATGGATTATTGAAGATAGGTAGTTTTTGTACTTGTTGCTGTTGTTAGGTGCTACCTTATCACCTACCTAGATTGTATTCATTTTTTCCTTTTAATGAAATTTTACTTGTAAACAAAAGTGGTAACAATTCTCCCCATTAGCTTTACAAAGGCAAACCTAGTTTGGAGATAAGAAAAGAAAATGCCGTATCTTTTGTAGATTGTCCATAGTAGTAATCTTTCCATAATACACTTCCCAACACAAAGCATCAACTTTAGGGCGGCTAGGTTTGTGCCAGATGTCTTGAACACCTGAAATCTTTCCATAATATTTAAGGTTTCTTTTTGTGATCCTTCTCCCTTGTTCTAATCTTGCATATCCTGTTCTCTTCATAGTTTCTCTAATTTTCTGGTTTTTTTTATTACCTTTATTTGAGGTGTTTGCTGATTTGTTTGCCCCCTATTTTCTTGTCCTTGTTGTAAGCATCTCTTGTTACCAACAAGGTTCCAAGTATCAATACACTCAATACCAAAAATTCAGTATCAAGCAATTAAAAGCATTGGTACTCTATGTTTTAATGCCAATCTTTCCGCCGTTGTTGCATGCTTACTACTATTATTATTTAAAATCGACAGATATTCCTAATTCCTAGTTTTTAGTGTATCATTTGGTTCCAACAACCAATATTGTCATACAATATGGTGTGATACATTACTTCAATCCTTGGTTATCAGTAAAATCCTTTGCCAATAAAAAATAGGACTAATTTGGTATTGTATTCTTCATCTTCATTTTGGTATCGTGCCCTTAATTTCTGTATAAAATGTTTTGCTGAGCCTGTGGTTTTTTTGATGGCTAGCTGAAAATTTTATTGATTATTAATAAAGAATAAAAAAAAGAGTATGAGCAGTACTTTGAACACTTACAGTTAGGTTATCTGAGTCTGATTCTCACATGTCATTTTAAATATGTTGGTTGTATCTGGACTACCAAATGTTGGTTGTCATATTTGTATACTGTAATCCATTTATACTTATGTCCTGTTGTTATACTGGGATGTTGTCGTTTTAGGTAGTCGTCGGGAAGATGATTGGACATGTCCAAGTTGTGGTAATGTCAATTTTTCATTTAGGACGACCTGCAATATGCGTAATTGTACTCAATCCAGGCCAGCTGATCATAATTCGGTAAGCCATGTTTAATTTGCCATAATCTCATTATTGATTGAGGTCCATGCCAAGCAAAAAATTCATGAGTCCAGCAACAAAAGCCATGAGCTAACTATTATTATAGTACAGCATTATCACAAAGAAGATGTGATATATACATTGGTTAATTTGGTTCATCATTAAGAGTTTTATACACTTATTTGTTTTCTTTTATGTTGGGTTTAGTGGCATTCATGTACAAGTCACAGACTGGATGGCTTATTTTTGCTTGGAACAATCCTAATATGGCATTTCTATTTTTCTGTGTATAGTCCTTTTTATTTTATTTGTGACACTTTCATTTTTCAATTTTCCTAAATATTTTGTTTATGGGTGCTCCATTTCTGCAAGATATTTTTCCTGTAAAGCTCTGTTATGAAAGTGCTTCAATGTTGCAAGAAAAATTTCCAAGCATTCTTTGCGTGCCCCTGTTTATCTTGAAGTTTTGATCAGAGAAAAGCTTTAGTTTTGGTATTGGCTTTTGCTTGCTCTACATAGATTTACATCTTTATGGAGAAATGGAATTGTTCCTCCCTTTACTGTTCTGAACAAATTGGAATCCTGATTTAATGATAGTTCATCTTAATGTTGTTTTTCTTATAGCCGGTTGTATGAAAGGTATATTGTGTTATTTAGCGTTAATTTGTTGGTCAAGTACATTGAAGAATTAAAGTTCAAATTCACCAAGATTGTTGTTGAATAATCTTACAGAAGAATGAATAGGTTTATTCACATTTTGTAAATTTCCCCTGCGAGAACCCATTTTTTGTTGGTTAAAAAAATGGCTTTGCAATATAAACACCGGGCCAAGCAACAACCTAGGAAAAACAACTCATGGACCGGTCCCTGCAGCTGCTAAAATCAGATTGATGCTCCAAACCAAAAAGAACAAATAGAATCAATGGCCATTACCTGTGGAAAAGGCATGACCTTTTTAAAGTCACTGTTGATGAGCCATCAAGACTTAAAACTTGAGATTGTCTACTATTATTCTAGAACTTTGGTATCTGGTTAAGTGGCTACTCCTTAATATATCTGATTCATTGTTGCCCTTGTTAACTGGGGCAACAATTGATTAGCTACTAACTCTGGATCTTTTAGACAATTCTTCTTTGCTGATATTTGGAGGAATAGGTTTTCAGTGGCATCTAGTTCAGTGCAGAAGATCAGACCAAGGCTGGTGTGGACACCTCCTCCTGAAGGTTTTCTGAAATTAAACCTTGATGGGAGCAGTCAAGGCAATCCAGGTCCTTCAGGAATTGGAGGGGAGTCATAAGGAACACAGAAGGGATCATACTTGCACTTTCTTCAGGACCGGTGGGGATAGACTCTTTAAAGGCTGAACTGTTTGCAGTGTTACAAGGTTTCAGAATGCAAAAGACTTGGAACTTGGAGAACTTGGTAATTGAAGGGGACTCCAAGGTGGTGGTAGGTTGGTTGAGAGATCTGGGCTCAGTGATTTGGTGTTATAGAAATGAAACGAAGAAGTTTCATTAGCTAAGCAAGGGGTGATTAGGGATCAGATGTATTGGGTGCAATTGTAATTCTGTATCTGTACTAGCTCTGTTCTAACAGTGAGGTTGCATCTTGTGCCTCCCTGTGGGGTGCTTGTAACAATGCATATCTTTATATTTTTCAATGAAATTTAATGATCTTTTACTTACCAAAAAAACTTCAATTTATAGTGTAAAATCAGTATTGAATTCCATGTTTAGCCCTGTCCTTGCTGTATCTGGGTAACATAGGTTGCACATGCTTAATTTTATTTGGTAACATTCTGAAGATACCATCATTTTGTATCTGAAAGCTCCAAGTTAAGTTTGAAACAGGTGTTTAATTCTTATCAGACAAATTTTGATTTCTGCTATTTTGGGTGTCCTTTCTTGATATTTTTTTCTTTTAAATTTCATTTTTCATGCCAAGAAAGTTAATGATGTGTTTAGGCATGTTGAATATCATATGGCTTGCTTAAAAAAAATTATATGGCTTGCTTTATCCAATTGATAGAAGGTGTAAAAGATGTTTTTTATTTATGAATTTGCACCTAATTATACCACTACTTTTCAGAAATCTGCTACGAAGCCACTTCAAGCCCCTCAAAGTTACAACTCATCAGCAGCCTATCTAGGTTCAGGTGCACCTTCTTCTATGTACCTGGGAGTTCCACCATATGGCTCTTCACTGTTTAGTGGAACATCTCTTCCTCCCTATGATCTTCCATTCTCTGGGGGGTCTGGATATCATTATGACTATGGCAGCCGCCTCTCAGTTGGCAGCCCTTATGGGCCACTGCATTTGTCTGGACCGCCACCATATTCTAGTGGATCTATGCTGGGAACTGGTAATTGCCATTTTAATTTCTTTCCTTTCCTTTTTCCTGTCTCTCTTTATTTTTTACCACTGCATTTCTTTCCACTAGCAAGGCATTTTTAGAGTATTTACATTTACTATTTACTGTTGCTTATGAAAAATCAGCTTGTCATTTTTATTTCTTGCTTCTGCCCCCGTACCTTATTCTTTTCTTTATCATATCTTGTTTTTTTTTAATATATGCATTTGGTAGGGTTACCTTGATTATGATTTCTTCTCTTTCTTAGGTGGGATGTACGGTATGGCCCCTCTAATGGACCGATATGGCTTGGGTTTGCCCATGGGTCACACTGCTATGGTATGTATGAGGCATGTTAATTAGTTTTGTTCTTAAATAGTTGCATGAGCTGCTTTCCTATGGTTGCTTGTTAGTTTTGTTCTTAAATAGTTCCTTTTCTCTTTTCTTCCTTTCCCTTCGCTCTTTTATTTCACTTTAGATCATTTTGGGGTTTTAGTTAATTTTATGTAGCTTGTGGTGTGGGTGGATGATGATTCTACAGGTAATTAGATTGAGAAGGGAGATGGAGTTCACAATAGGTTCTTAATTCTTAGGGTATACTACAAAATTAGGTACTGGTTGATCAATACCATTGATACAGAAGCAATTATCCAAAAAAAGTACCATTGATATAGACGGCTGATGGATAATGAGTTCTCTATGAGAGGAGATACTTTAACCTGTGAGTGAGTGGGGAGGGGAGTTAAATGAATTGACACCAATACTTGGGAGGTTTATCAACTCTTTTATTGTGTATACATGCATTACACTTCAAAATACAGCTAGCTAGTATGCTTGCACATGATCCTTAAAACTAAAGATCACAACGTGGTGTATTTTATCATCAAACCTAGCTAGGGGGGAGTGACACTTCTAAAATATTTTAAAAGCCTTACAGTTCCAAGAGTCACTAATATATATGGGCCATTATCACCTTGTTCCCTCCTCTCAAGAAATACACGTACACAAAAAAAGTTCATGAAAGAAGAGGCGGGGCAAGGTGTGGTACAAAAGAACCAGAAGGTTTTGGTGATGGAGCAAAAGTATAGAACTGGTAGAGAATAACAAGAAGTGTTAAATCTTGAGGTGAAACAATACACGTGAAGCTGGAAAGAAGGATAACCCACTTTCAGTTAGGGGTGGGTTTGAACCGAGCCAAGTCGAATATCTGGTTACTTGAGCTCGGCTTGCGAAAAAAAAATGTTGGGTTCAAGCTTGAGCTTGATTTATGCTAGATACTTGAACTCGAATTTGGCTTGGCTCAAAAGCTCGTATGTTCGAGCTTGACTCGGCTCAAGCTCGATTGCGTGCCAAGCTTTCTATAAAAAATAAATATTATACATACAAAACTCATTTTTTATTTTACATGCAAAAAAATTAAGAATTATAAAAATTACTTATTATTATACATAAAAATAAAAATATTATATATGTGAAATATTATTATACATATAATAAAGCTTATTTATTAATATCTATATATGTATGCATGTATGCATGTATTATGCTCGTAAGCCTTACTAGCCGAGCTTGAATAGCTTGTGAAAAGCTTGATTTTTTTCCACTTTTAGGGTTGAAATCACTACTTAAGTGGATAATATAAGTCTTTAAAGATTGAAAACAGCAAAAAGATCCTTCTACAAAGTTCAAACATGATATGAGGCTAATATAGATGCTTCCAAGCAAAGTGACACCGTAACACACAATTTGACCAAAATACCCCAACTTAAGTGACTCGTGTGATAGTCACATGACTCAGCTTAAAAATAAAAAACTAAAACATTACCAAACAACCATAAAGTTCATATAAGATATATAACTCAGGAAAAATAAGAAAACAAAGATGAATACTTGGCCCCCTCCAGAAACCAGATGTTAGTGGGGTTACACATGAGCCCCACATGCTCTTGCATCAACCTCCCTGGGTTGGAAACTCTACTCTGGCAAGAACACCTTCATGCACTCAGTATATGTGGCTGGTTTTCCCAACCATTTCACTAAAAATCGTTGTTAGGTGGTTCCCCTTCTAGATCGAACCTCCTTCACATCCAAAACATCTTTTATCACTTTTGGTAGCTTATTTGGAGCTGTTGAAACATGGTTTTTGGTATCTGCTCTTCTCCATCAAATCCCTCAAAGGAATATAAGTCAGCAACATTAAAGATAGGACTTATTTGAAGTGCCTCCCGGCAACTCAATGATGTGTACATTCGAGCTGATTTTCTACAAAGCCTTACAAGGTACAAAACCTTACAAGTGGTCTCAAAATGATGTATGCACTGGAGCTTTCACCTTGAGCTGGGTAAATGTCTCTTCTTCTTCTGCTGCTTCTGCTGCCACCTTTAGAAGTACTCCCATCTGCACAGTTGGAGTTGCTGAACCTTGCTGGTTCTTTTTCTTTCTCACCCTTACCAACTCCAATAGGATTTTTCACAGTTGTCCAACCAATGGTGTTAACTCCTTTTGCATTTTTAACACATGTTTGCTCACTCCGAGCACCCTTAACAGCACTCTTGCACCATAATGCAATACTTGTTTTTCAGCCATTAAGGCATATTGTCGAGCATCTTCAAGACTAAACAGTCCCACTACACATCTCAACTAACAAGTTGTTAGTTGCTCATTGCTCTTGTTAAGAACAACCTGGATACAAAGATATTAAATTCTGATGTGTATTCTCCTACCGTCATCCCCTTTTGCCTCAATGAATGGAGTCTCTCATACAACTTCATGGTGGAATCAGCTGGTAGAAGTTGCTTCCTCATCTTTGCCTACTATGCTCCCATGTATTAATTTTTGACTTCCCTTGATGAGAGCATTTCTCTTCAACTCACTTCCACCATCGAAATGCAACACCCTTCAATTTTAGTTTCACGAACAACACCCTCCACTCCTTGGCCATTGGCTTCCATTCAAAGTAATTTTCCATGCTGGTTTCCCAATCCACAACCATTTTCCAACACACCATGTTCAACCTCTTCATTGTTAGGCCAATGGAGGGGATTCTCTTCCTCAACCTCAATTCATCTCTAACACTACCTTCCTGTCTGAAGGTTCATGGTCGCCTTCCGAAATCTCCATGCAGGTTTCTGCTCGCTTTCGCTGTTGCAAGGCTTATACATCCCGTGAAAAATCTTCAATCATACGTCTCATCTCCAACATTTCCCCTTGCTGAAACTGGTTTCCTTTACCTCCATGTCCCTTACCACGAGCTGCCATGGTTCAGATCTAGTATCTTAAGCTCTGATTACCAAATCTGATGTAGCAGATATATAAAATCAGTAGATAACGGAAATAAGAGAAGTGTTGAAATCTTGAAGTGAAACAGTACACTTAAAGCTGGAATGAAGAGCAACCCACTTTTAAGGCTGAAATCATCACTTCAGTGCATAGTATAAATCTTTAGGGTTTGAAAGCAACAAAAATGATTTGAGGCTTTTATAGCTGCCTCCAAGCAAAGTGGCGATCTAACACTTAATTTGACCAAAATACCCCAACTTAAGGATTCACATGACTCAACTTAAAAATAAAAGACCGAACACTAACAAACAACTGTAAAGTCCATATGGGATATATAACTCAAGAAAAATAAGAAAACAAAGATGAATAAGTAGGTTGGCCCCCTCTAGGAACCAGCTGCTAGCAGGGTTACATGTGGGCCCCACGTGCTCCTGCATCATTTGGTATCTTAGATATGAAATATTGTGCATCTGTGTGTTGTCAGAGTTTTTAATTTCCAACTTTGGTATAGGGGGCAAGGCCAGGAGTTTTTCCAGATGAGAATCCTCAGAAGCTGCCTGCAGGTAGGCATCAATTTAGTTTATGCATTTTGCAGATTCTTCATTGTTGCATTTCTTTGTATTTGTTAACTCCTTTTATTCCTCTATGTAGATACAACACGTGATAGTGACTGGACGTGCCCCAAATGTGGGAATGTTAACTTTTCATTTAGAACAGTCTGCAACATGAGGAAGTGCAATACCCCAAGACCTGGGACGCAGGTTTGTACTGCTTATTTTGTTGGAGAAAATGTCGAGCAGCATTTTTTTATTCCCCCCCCCCCCCGCGCGCGCCCCTAGACCAAGTTTTTCTTTAATTCACATTTTACTGAGCCTCTGTTTTCTTATGCAGGCTGCTAAATCTGAGAAAAATTCTAGTAAGTATTTTTTTTTTTCTTTTCACTGGTAAATTGTCATTTCTTCTGTCTTGGTATCCCGATATTCCTTCTTACTATGAATTACTTGTCTTGCAGAACAAAAGATGCCCGAGGGTAGCTGGAAGTGTGAGAAATGTAACAATATAAATTATCCATTTAGGACCAAGTGCAATAGACAGAATTGTGGGGCAGAAAAACCATCTGAAACAAACAAGTCCCCTTCACCATCATCATCAGAAGATGAACAGGTTTGTTGTGAGATGTGTTTGTGTACATCCATTTGTTGCTTTAAATTGCTGGCTTCTCGCATCATTCTCTTCTTTGTATATCTCACAAACTCATTAAACATAAACTACAATCATCATTTATTAATGATCTGGAGTGGTTGCTCTTCTTTCTTTCCTCAAATTATTTTTGTACTTTCCATTGATTCATAGTTGTCTATTGTTCCAGTGAGTACTAGTACACTTTTGAGGGTTGAGAAGGTCCAGAGTCTTCGTCCGGCTTGCTCAATATGGGTGTCTGAAAGTCAGTCTTGTCATCGTCATGTTGCAGCGGTTGTCAAGTTACTCTGCCTTACCAGTTATCATGATCAGTGTCAAGTTGTTGTATTTGCAGCAACCCCATGTTTACTGGTTTACTACTGGGTAATGTCATTTGTGGTCGTTATTTTTGTTTATCACCTTTTCCTCAAAACATGTCATGTATCGACTAGGTCGACTGGTGTCATCTTTTACGAGTTGGTTTTCATTATTTATTTGAAGGTAGGCCCCCTATACTTTTTGGACATGAGCTTTTGTCTATCTAGTGGGTATGTTATGTACATTCCTGGTTACTTTTATAGATAAATCTGTAGAATGATAGGATTCAGCAAGGCTGCACTTCATGGCAGTTCTCAACATTTCATACGTGTCTGTATGAAGTTGTGGAAGTGGCCTGTTGAAAAGATTAGTCCAGAGATTTACCATATTTCCAAACTCGATTTGTTTTAGGTTTTTTATCTTCATGTTTTGGTTGGAATGGGAATATTACTTGTTTAAGAATACCTTGGTCAGTTCTCCATTGTAGGAATGGAGCATTGGGGATGCTTTGCTTGGCGTCTGTTTTGGCTATTTGAGTTTGTTGTTTCCTCTTTAGTGTATTGGTATGTTACATGCACAGAAAGGTCCAAGAACCTAGGAATCCGGGCTCATTATGGAATCTGCCGAGTGATATTACTAATAGATCCAGGTCGATTCACATCACTAAATCCTAGCTCAGGAAGTTACTACCTAACGCCTGGGACATTGGGACTCCTTCCCACTCCCCACACCTGGTCAAAACCTTCTATTGTACCTAAGGTGGCGGAGCTTTGTGTCTGCCAATTTGAAATCAAGTCAAAGTTGGGTGGGTGGGGGGTGGGGGGGGGGCGGTATGCCAAAATTCTTGTCCTCCGCGTAATGTTTTTATTTTGACCGGTGGGGGTTTCAAAAAGTTACTTTAAGGCTGTGTTTGGTTTGAAGGAAAATGTAGGGGAAGGAAGGTAAAGATAGGGAAACCTTTACAAACCTTGTATAGGTTTCCCTAGCTTTTCCTTAAAGCCAAACACTGCCTAAAGGAAAAAAGATACACAATTTAAGATATTTAACTCTAATTAAAATCTCTGTTCCTTTATTTATTTTATGATTTTATCCTCCCGTGAAAGTCAGAATCTATCATTACTCACTCGTACCCACCAGTGTGCCACTGCCACCCTCTGGTGGGTATGAGGGGGATTGATGAAATGATGAATTACTGAACGAGGAATTTCTTACATGATTGGCGGTGCACTCCAGTTTATCGTTCATTAGCTCAGAAACTTGTTAGTTATAGGAGTTTCTTTTTGGTTGTTTGAATTTTCTGACTCGCAAGTTTTTTCAGTAGGGAAAATCTATGATATTGGGAAGACATGATAGCGGAAGAGCTTTGATCAATCAGAGCGCTTCATAAATTTTGATGAAAACCGCCTGATTGGTTACCTCTTATCTGATACCAGTTGATTGGCTGTAAATTTTTCTGGTATCATGTCTTTTCTGGTTTCATTGTTGAATCCTTTCTGGTATCATAAGCTGATTCTATCAATTAAATCGTATATAATATATTGAGATTTCCCTGTTTTCTTGTAATTTTTTTTTTGAGGATAAATTTCTAAATTTTGTAGAAAAACACTTATTTTATCAATATATAATGGTTTGCTATTTTAATGTTATTTTTTAAGGTTATATTTTTAAGAATGAAGTTCTAAGTTTGTTATTGTCACAGATAGTTATAGATGTCATTCGATTAATAATTGATTTGTGTCTGGGTCCATATAGAATCAATTAATGATCGATTTAGGACTGTGAATATCAACTATCAAAAAACAAAGACTGCAAAGGTAAATTATTTTAGAGCTAAGACCCATTTTATCTATGCATGTAAACGTTACATGATACATATGAATGTGGATTTTCGTATGCAAGTTTATCTACCTGTTCACGTGATATACATGTTACAGGCATTTGATTGGTCGAAGCTTGTGTGACCAATTAACCGGTATCGTAAACATAGTAACCAATCATGTGGTATTTATCAAAGTTTAAATGGGGTTTTGATTGGTCAAAGCTCTTCTGGTATTATTTCTTTCTGTCATCACCGATTTCTTTTGAATCTATATTATAATCTAAAATGCAGTTGTCCATGTCAGATTCCCAACATTGCTTGCAAACCCTTTTTGAATTTTGTGGTTTTTGTTGGATTTTTAAAATATAAAATTAAATTTGGAATTATTTACTCACCCACAACCAATTCAATTAAGAATCTGAATGTAACAGGGGCATCTTTTTTCACACCAGTCAATGGGCCTCTTCTAGTTTCCACAAAATGTGATACTTTTGACTCACAAATTTGTTTAATGTGGGGTGGGAGGTATTTAAAGGTACAGTGGTTAGAAAAGAAAAAAAAACGCACCGACACGTTCAGTGATCACCACCCATTATGCCTACCGAGTACCGACTACCAAATCCAGAGTTCCAGACTCCCAAAAGGCCAAAACACCGACGTGGCAAAAAAATCATTCATACCGTCGCTTCTATGACACCTTGCTAGGTACCAGGTACCAAGATAGCAAGTTTGGATCTCCCACCCACCCATGCCCTACTACAGTGGTACATTGAGAACATCTCTGATATTTACATTTTACCGTGGAGAGATGTTTCCAATGTACAGCTGTAGTGTCATGGGGCAAGTGGGTAGGATTTTTGTGGATAGGAGATACGAATTCCCAAGAGGTTTTATTTTACCTATTGTTGTTAGGTTTACAGTGAACTGGATGGTAGGATCATCAGATTCAGTAAATTGTATTTTTAGGTCTATTAATCAATGTCACAATCCCAGTAGAAATCTTTGGACCGTATTCGAATGGAGCTTGCCAGTGTCCAAAGATGAGATGATTATTCCCAGAGGGATAATCATAACCAAATACCCTCGTCTTGCTGGTGGCCCAGTCAATTGAAAAAAACCCAAAGGAAAAATTCCATCTGTCCTTACACGCAACAATATAAATAATTGAACACAAGATCTGCCACGTGTAACTAAAATTAGGCCTTGTATTCTCCTGCCAACAAAACACGTTCCAACACCCAACCAACTTAATCTTAACTTCTTATCCACACCTCACTATGAAATGAAATGTACGGTGTAAGATGTTAAGGAGTTGGCAGGTGATCTGGACTCAGATCCAACAGAGCTGAACTGAACCGATCCGATCCAATTATCTGGGTTTGCATTATGTATCATGTGTCAGGAGAATATTGGTTTTGGTTAACCACTTGTGGCAGTTGATTTCTTTCTAGCATCATAGTTTAAACCCACATGTGACATGTAGGATCCGTTTGGTTCACAGTCAATTGGATTTGGAATCGGAATGGTCGATTCATGTTACCTATTATATATGTTTTCTTACAAAGTGGCTCATGTTTCATATGATATGAGAATGAACCGTGACCACATAATCCCCTTCTACTGGTAAAGTTTGTGTTAGGTTTCACATAATAGTAGAAAATTTAAATACAGAAAAGTTTGGATGGACCGACTATTCTCATTTCTCAAGATCGTGAAAATATAAGCGTAAAAAATTCCAAACTGAAGAGAAAAATAAACTAATATATATAAACATAAAAAATGAGAAAATAAACTAAAGAAAAGAAAATAAAAATCACAAACAACTGAAGGTTGAAAGAAAAGAGGAAAATCGTTTTCTAACTAGGACAAACTAGACACCAGATTCTTTTTCCTGTTTTCAGTAACTGATGGTTCCAGTTCAACCATCAGTTTACTCCAGTTTTTAAAACATTCACATCTACTAATTAATATATTTTAATTGCTTTAATTTATTTGCACGCTTATGCAAATCAATAAAGTAAGCTCAATGACTAGAGCAAAACACCAAGGGCTTGTGTCTGGAAAAGAGAATAAAACAAGCCATAAGGCGATATATTAAGTTGACAAATATCTCGTGTTCCAAACCAGGTTTTCACCAAACAATGCATCATGATCTAATGTTAGTTTCTGTAAAATTCCATAAAGAACAGCTTTGCAATTTAACTGAGTGAATAGATTCTACTGTATGAACAAAAGAAATTAAAGGAAGCAATCAAATTGCCATCTTAAATGTCGTATGCAGTTGACCTGTTTAGCATAAGATTTCAGGGTTCCGGAAATGGACAACAAAAAAGACATTGGATGGAGTTAGTGTACCAACATCATGGAAAACTGCAATTATGCAGTAGAGATCTAGAGGGCAAACAACCCGATGAAAGTGGTAGCTAACTTTCAGAACGTGGAATTTACACTTGCATTTTGACTCCTACACAGAGTTGAGGACTTCACTTTCCATGCCAAAACTGCATTGAATTCCTGAAAAGGTTCAAAATTTATTAGTGCTGCAAATGGAGTAGCTTTCCATGATTGACAAATGTAGCATTCAAGTGCTATTCTCCAAAAGTTTGGCCTGATTTTACTAGATATATATTTCCGCTACTAATGTGGAAGTATAAAGTCCTTCAAAATGGCAATGGTAGCACTTTCAATGTAGGGTAAGGATCCATAGAAAGCACTGCATTCCTTGCACTCTTTAGAAAAGTGCATATATGGTACTGCAAGTCAGAATTGCATGTGAGATGGATTTACTACTAAAGCCAAGGCACCAGCCTTGGATGGACATGCTTGTTCATGTGTTATGGAAGAACAATGCAGTCCAATCAGTGTATTCTTTGCAGCCCTAAAATAGCTTTCTAGAATTTGTTCTCATAGAAGGAATTTGGATACTCATGTAAGCCATCAAATGTTGGTTTCTTTGACCACTAATAACTGTTCGATGTTGCTAGACTATACCAAACTTAACATTCCTAACTACTTAGGAAATTCATCCATCATTCCCCGAAAGAAGTGACAGGACGGTAGGGCTGCAAATACATAGGATTTGATCTGAGTTGAATTTGAACCTGATTCATTTAACCCAGCACTTTAAGAATTTATTCTTTAAGATTAAGTGGGATGTGGGATTTTGATGTATCTATTTTTATCTATTTATGATATATTCTCTTGTTTTATATTTAATTTTGAAGATCCATACAAGTTTAATGAACTTTGAATTGAATCAGATACCAGTTTATATTAATGAATAAAAATTCAATGCACGCCTTGCATATTCATCAGATGACAAGTTGAATTTGGATTTTCTCTACAGGTTTATGCATGCATCCACTGTCACACCTTTTAGGGACACATAAATGTTTTGTTAGCAAACATTGGACATTAATTAAAATAAGTCATGCTAGTTAGATAGTAAATAAAGGGAAGAAAATAAGAATCCACAGACCTTTGGATTCAGCCGCTTCAGGGGGGGATGGTGTTGGTAAGTTCCACTCATCAGTTCATCTGATTGGAATAAAAGAAGCTGGACTCAAATGATGCCTTGAACAGATGAAACTCTTGAAATTGACCATTACCATTACCATCTGCACCCAATGAATGTACTCTGGATACAGCTGGCTGATGTTCAACCTGCCAGTATTCTGATGAAGGTGGTGGCAAGTCTTGAGGCACCACTGGCTGAGCCATCCTTGTGTGGTTTGTATGCATGATCTGATCAAGTGATGTGGGTTCAGGATCAGTTGAACCCCAAGAGTTAGTTGACAGAAGAGAGAGAGCACGCCGAAGATCCGGTGTTGTGTCCAAGTTAGAAGCGACCCCAGATGCTTCAAGACCTGAAAAAGGTAATCATATGATTAATACCAACAACATGAAAATATTAGAAAGACACAGGAAAACAAACTTCCAAGAACCTACCGAATGGGATGGGGAATGCAACTTAGGTGGGCTCAGGTTGAGCATTTGTTAAAATTTAAAGGGGCCTAGGCTTGTCATGCCAAAGCATCAACTAGCAGTTCGCTGATCTTAGCATCCATTTAATATGTTATTCTTATCATTGCAACTAATTCTTGTATTACATTATTATCATTGCTCTTGTTATTGTTGTTGTATACAGGATGGCTGTGCCCTGTTCGCAGTCAATACAAAAAACCTTTAGCCGTGCCCTGTTCGCAGTCAATACAAAAAACCTTTAGCCAATCCAAGATGAATACAAATAAAACTATCATCTTGGTTGGGTTAGTGGGGTTGTGGTGATTGGAGTGGTAATGGCAGAGGATGGTGAAATAAGGGCAACAACCAGTCAGTATGGTTCCAATGGCAACAAGGAAGAACCGTCTGCAAAATGAATCAGTAACAACACATACTTGCAAGGAATACTTTTGGTTATAGTTATTATACACTTATATAAGATTAATTAATTACTGTTGTAGACCATATTGGTGAAATAATGGTGGCACTGGTGGAAGTTAGATAGCCATACAGGAAGAATTTGAGGTAGGGAGGTGGGTCCTAACAGTGGTTGAGTTAGATTAATTAATTACTTGCTAGAAGGCCATGAAAAACTAAGGATTTATATTTCCATTGACTAGAAAGTAATAATGAGAAGTCAGACCCCATTTTCAAATAAGGAAACTCTCTGAATCTGAGTAGTAACTAAACCTGTTCCTGTCTGACTGGAGTTGCTTGGTATGATAAGATCCAAATTTTGGCACTCATACAATAGAATGAATAATCTAATTAGGTTCTAGAAATCCCTAGGTATGGTGCATCCAGAAATAGGTCCTAATCCACAGTATTTGTGACACAACTATTTGTGGTTAAGGGCCAACAATTTTTACCTGATTATTTCTAGGTAATATTAGAATGAAACTGGATTCTAAAACAATTGTCAGGGTCCATAACTTCTTCAGTTGTAGGCATGTCAAATAGTGCATCAAATATTAATCATAAGAACCATTATAGAATGTTATTTTCCTGATGAATGAAAATATTCTACCTTGACTAAGGATCTCAGCATTGGTGCCCCTGGATGACAAAAGCCTATCAGAGTCATGACCATGTCTAGAAATGGCATTTGGCATCTCATTGCTTGGCAAATGCAATTGTCCATCAATGCCTCCTGCTTTTGCTGGTCTTATCAGAGATCCTCTTGTTTGTGTAAGCTTATAGTCAGATGCACTTTCCCAAGTTGGATCTGCAGCAGGTCTAGTATGAATAAGTGGCACCCTGTTTAAAACAAGGTTCATCTGTTGCCTCCCATCTGTGAAGATTGGCACAATAAAGTCAATTACTAGAAAGATAGAAACAGTGAAAAGTTTCACTTATATTTGATGTTTTTCTTGGAAATATAAAACTTTACATGCTATCATAGAGATATCGAGTCAAAAACATGCTATAATAACGGAAGTTATTAGGTTGGAGAACAGAATTGAAACTATGAATCCACTTCTAATATAATTAAGAATAACATGACTTAAAAAAGAAACCAAGTACAAAACAAATAAAAAAATAGGCAATTGGCATCATAGAGAAGACATAAAAGATGATCATGTTCTTACATGTCCAAGGATATGCCATGTCAGCTGGTAGTCAAATACAGAGATAGAAGAGACAATTAATGCCCAAGAATAAGTAACTTGGAGAGCAGAATTGAAACCATGAATTAGCTAGTAGTCCAATACAGAATGACTAAAATTAAAAGAAAAACAAAAATCAATTCCAAGAGAAATGACCTGGTTGCAACAATATGTTGGCATCTTATAGAAGGTGTAAAAAATAATCATGTTCTTACATGTACACAAATGCCATACCAATGGTGGCATCTGCTGGTAGTCTAACAGATTGATATGAATAGAAGAAAACAAAGTATACACTATAGAGCAACTGGAAGTGATCTAATGTCAATAATATATTCACGTCTTATGGAAGATCTTAAAGATGATCATATTCCCAGATGTCCAGCACATATCTGTACCAACCCACTCCCTTCCTATCAGGAAAAAGACATATGCACTAGACGGGTGTATACAGGCTAAGCTAACCCAAACTCTCTCCTTTTTGCTTAATTATGAATTTCTTTGTTTTTGAATCAACAAAAAAAAATTATTATAAATACAATTATTAGTGTGCCAGAAAACCCTTTTCTTTGGGTTAGCCCCTAATACCCACCCCATTAATTGCACCTTTTGTTTACATACTATGATTTCCCATTTTAGGAGACAAAACCCTAATGTAACTGGTTCCTATTTATTCCTTCTCTTGCGGAGGCATCTGCCATGCTGTTTGCTGATCGTTGAGTCCCCCCTGAAAGTTGTCCACAATTCCATGACAAGATTCTTCACCTCCCCTAGAATATGACAATATTTACAAGGGCCTGTGCTATTGTGTTGGAACCATCCCATGACTTCAATCTCCCCTCCACCACAATATCTCTAGAGATTACCCACTGTCAACCCATGTAATACAGCCCAAAGCTTTGCCCTTGTTTCATCTTAACCAACAGGTCCAAAAAATAATGCAAGAAAATCACCTTGACAATTCCTAAAAAATCTCCACCAGTTCCCAAGTTTTATGGATTATCCATGCTACACCTATCAAAATTTAGTTAGATGATATTTTCCAAAGAAGAGGACCATAGTATTACTAGTACAATAAGCTGCCAACTTCTGATTATATCATTGATTGAAAAGGGAGTAAACACATCCATGGTTTCTAAACAGGTACCATAGGAATGCTGCTCTGGTACATCTCCACATACCACCCCAAAGAATTGGATAGTAGGGTAGATCAATGTAATGAATTCAATCCTGGCCCAGGTATTCCCAATACAAGTTTCTACCTTGTTGCTTGTCTTTGCCAAAGCATCAGCTGAGAATTATTTCTAGGGATCCACCCCACCTACTCAGGTTGCTACCTAGTGCTAGCCCCCCCTCAAAATTAAAACATTTCCAACATTCTGAGCTCCTAGCATAACCTATATGGTAGATGCTTATCAATTAAAAAAGAAATCTACACGTAGATGCTAAAAGAACTAATCCCACATTAACCAGAAAAGCCAAGAAGTTCATGGAGTATGAAAACACTTATAAGGATTAAACGTGGTCTAAAAGCTAATAATTATAGAACATACATTCATTAGCACCAAAATTTTCATTAGGTATCAGCTATAAAATCATCCTTTGGATTGCTTTCATCATCTATCTCTCTGGGACATGTACAGACACAAAGACAGAAAAATAATCAAATTACTTTTTTTATCACAGCATCAAGCACATGAGATTTCAGTATAATTTTCATTAGGTATCAGCTATAAAATCATCCTTTGGATTGCTTTCATCATCTATCTTGCTGGGATATGTTATGTACAGGCACAAAGGCAAAGAAAAATATATCAAATTGCTTTTTTTATCACAGCATAAAGCACATAAGATTTCAGTATATAATTCTAACATCTGTAACACACTCACATGATGTGAACATTTAATACAACTCAACATTTACAAAAAAGAAAAGTTGTTCAAAGAGACAGAGACGGCACCATAAAATGATGAAGAAAGCCTTGCAGAGTTGAATTGGATTGCCTCTGGTTGTGGTTTGCGGCGACGTGCATTGTGATCAGAGAGACGCCTGCGGCAGCTTCGCTTTTTCTCATCAAACTCAGACAAATCATGGAACCTTTGACATAATCAAGCAGGCAATTGTCACAACAATGTCCTAGCAATTTCAATAAGCTAATGCTATACAGTTGGGGCAGAACTTTTCAACTACAATGGATGGAAACATGATAATATGATTTAAAGCATGGCAGAATACCATCTGTGGATGAAAGATTGCAAAGTTGAATAAAAGCAATCAAAACTTGAACTACAGAACATTGGTCACCTAATTGATGGTCATTCCAACTATTCAGTTATCTTACAAGAAGCATACCTGCTACACTGTTGGCAAAAACGACGTTCCAGGCCGGCTACAATTACCTTTGGGCATTTGGAATGGCTTTCACAGACCCTATGCCTGCGATGATAATCTTTAGCTGATGAAAGGTCAAGGTTACAACCTTCTACTTGGCAGCGCGGGGTCTGTGTGCTTTGATAAGATGCCCTGGATCTCTTTGCTGTGGTAGAAGATGACGTTGGAATAACAGAAAAAGAGGAATGCTTAATGGTGCTGCCGGCACAAATGTCTTCAAAGTAAGTGCGCTTACCAAGCTTTAAACCAATCAACGGTTCAGTGGAGCCTGAAACTCCCAGAGTTGGAGAGGTTTCAGTATCTTCTAATCTGGGTAATTCTTTCTTGTTTCTAAAATCTTTAGACAAAGCTTCAGCTGTCTCAAAATTAAAATTGGACATTTTTATGCCCCCCTTTGATGATGAGTCAACAGATGCAGAGACCGAGCTCTTGGATGAAGAGCCATGTCCCAAATCAGAACCAGAACAGCCACCGCCTGCAGATGAATAGACAGACCCATTGTCAATTCCCCCATCTCCTTCGATCCCCCAATCTGTTGGTTGTACCTGCCTAGGAATCTCATTTGCTTTTCCATTAAACATCACTAGATTCTCCCAGTCCCACTGAGAGGGAGTCTTTGGGTTCCACTCCATCACAGAAGAAGTCCTCATAGAAAAGTTTTTACAAACCGTTTAACTCCATAAAATATGCAGACTCTAATTCGTTTCTGTTGGACAGCACCAGATCCTGTAGGTATGATATGAGAATGAAAAGGGGGAAATGTTAGCGAGCTAATAGTAAAAGAAAAGAGGAAAGTAATCAAGCATAAACGAGTGAGATCCATGTGAACAAGTGGGAAACCATTGCATCAACTCAGATTGGCAAGTTTATTCTTTCTCAGTTATTACTGAAAATTCATTAAGGAATAAATCCAAACATACCTCCAAAATCATATAAATAGAACTGTCGAGTCTTTTTTCTCAGCTTCCTCTATCCTCAGCAACAGAAGATCAACAGCATATGGACAGCAAGAAGCAAACCCCCTTCAAATGGAAGAAATTAGTTTCTTTTGTTCCCTGAGCAAGACGACTACCGCTGATAACCCTTAAAACCCAACTCCACCACACTCAGGAGGAAGTCAAAGGGTGGGGAGAGAGAGAGGCACTCTCAACTATATGATCCTGAGGCTACGATCTCCTTCCTTAATTAGCTAAATATGTCACGTCAAGAGTCCAATGTAACAGATACAGAGAACGTTTGCTTCTATCTCAGAGACAGAGAGAGAGAGAGAGGGAGAGAGACAGAAGAGAAAGAAAGAGGTGAACTCCCAAAAACCTAAGAAAACACCAAGATACAGACTGATTGCATTAGTAACATCCTTGTCATCTTCAATCTCTAACATGTTAGAGCAATGAAGATGATCCTTCCCCCCCACCCCCAACCCTCTATCTCCATACTTTTAAGTCTCCTCGGGTTCCCAGAAGAAATCTAAACCTCAAAATCATCAGAAGATATCAAGCTGTAAAACCATCTCTTTTTAGTTCCTTTATGTAAGAAAAACTGTTTTGTTCCAGCAAGACCCACCCACCCCCTCGATACCAGCCAACCTGCTCCCTGCCTGCTTCTGTGAAAGAGAGAGAGAGAGAGAGAGATGAGAGATCGCAAAAGATCACGTCTCCTTATTATTTTCACCACACCCAATTGGTTTCCGAAAAAAGTTACCGTTACCCACCACCCCAAATGAGTTAGAATTCTCTACCTTTCCCTCTACACAATCATTTCGCTCTCTTCCGTCCAAAGACTCTAACTCCCCCTCTTTATATAATATCCCTTTGCTATTCACTTTTTTCCAATTATTTCTGGACCCAACTGAGCTTGTATCTGTCAAAACTTTTACTGCCTTATACTAAAACTATCCTCGGAGTTGAAGCCTTTGCAGTGAGTATTAATTTTTTCCAAAAATAAACATAATAACCATTTTGCCCATCACCCCACCTTCTTTCTTTCTAGTTTCTACCTTGTAATTAATAATCATCACATCTCATCTAATTTTCAATCTAACCATCCCTTCTTCTACAATCCTGGGAGCTCCCAAGACCAAAAATCATCTGATAACCACCTTCCAGTGCAGAAATTAAAATTTATTGAAAAGATAAAAAACCCTAATGGTGAATTATATAGAAGATGAGAAGATTCCACTTCTTCAACTGGATAGAGCATATAAATGATGAATTTCTGATCAGACCATCTCAAAAGAAAGAAAGAAAGAAAAGAATATGCTTTTTTCTTTGTTGGGTTGCAAATATCTCCACTTTCTAGACACTAATCAATTCTTCATGATCGCAATATCTTCTGCAACAATGAAGACAAGGACCTTGGCTCTCGCAGTCAACTAAACTATGCCTCAACGTGCTTTCTCCACCTAATCAAAACACAAAGGCATTGTTACTTACTGAAATCAAAACGTAAACCAACAAAACGCTGAATTGACCATCTGAGTTCAAGAACAAGGAGTTTAACACGTCAAACTCATTTTTCCAGTTTCTGGATAGATATGAAAAAAACCGAGCAAACTCTCATTGACCAATATATACTGTCAGGAAATACTGGATTTTTTCCTTTTTCATCTCTGTGTCTGATCTGAACTTCAAGTTCTGATCCCTTTTCTGGAGCCTTTTCAGCTTGCTTCGCAAAAACATAAAGCAGAACAAGTTTTTTTTTTTTCATTACATTTTTTAATAGTTTAATGGTTGTTTGGCTAATATTTCAGATATAGAAAAGCATTATTGATTCTTCTTTTATTTTCTTTTTCTGATTACACTTTGGAAGTATTGTAAGCTTTTCTTCTCTGTAGAGCCTGCTTTAAGCTGGAAAAAAAATTGGATTTTTCGTCAAGGTCAGAAATGTCTGTGAAAATATCAGAAAATCTTCAAAACTGGAGATTCTTTTTCTCAAATTCATAATTATTATTATTTTTTAAATCACAATTAGGTTTTCTGACTTTCTCTCTCTCCTCTAAAACATGCATGAGCTTCGGTCTCCGATCGCAGTCTTCTATACGGCTTTCCACCGGGAAAAAGGCCCCACATCTACAAACTCCACTCTTATTTTATTTTCGAATTACTGATTTAAGAAATTCCGGCGGTGAATTTATGCCGAGCAAAGAAGAGAAACAGGATTTTTACCGTTTTCAGACATTTCTAACGATTTTTTTTTCTTTGTATCCGGAATTATCCATCTAGGGTTCCTTCTGAAAGAATAAATAAGAAATTACTTTCGATTTTTCTTGTCTTCAGATATTTGCAAGCTTTCAAGTACTTGTGGCCATTAATACATGTACTTGAACATTGAATCCGGGAAATTTTCCCAAAGAAGAAGAAATAGGGCTTCTTTTATGCTACCCAGTTTAGATTATTAAGGCTGATTAGTTGCAGCAGTAGCTTAATGAGAGACAGAAAGATAGAGAGAGAGAGAGAGAGGTTTGCTTAACTTACGGGCGTAAAAGGTGCTGATGGTGATCATGTGCGGAGTCTGGCATTTTATGAAGCTGCAGAGCTCTCAAATGCAAGACAGGTGGACGAACTCCCTACCAACCGATCCTACTCTCAGAGTCTTCCTCCTTTCCCCTTCTTCCACACTCCTTTAAATACAGAGAGAAACAGACACAAAGCGACAGAAAAAGGAGAAAGAGAGAGAGAGAATGAGAAACAAGGCATATGATATGATATGATGTTTTACAGAGAATTACGAATCGAGTTTACCCGAGTTACCGTTTCAGCTCAGTATGCATGTGAGACAACACTCAACAGAGAGAGAGAGAAAAGAATAAACTAGTGAATTACGGTGAGCGTGAAACCACAACCACGTGGCAAGTTGCTCTATGGTTGCATGGAGAAAAATGTTGACAGGTGGAGAAATAATTTTAGGGTTGAAAAATTGCCACGTGTAAATAGGCGGATAGGGGAGGGTTTACTGTAACGTGGAAATGGAATTGAACTATTGAAGTGTGATGCTAAAAGGCTGAGCGGTCCTCCACCTATTTTACTAATGGGTTTAGGGTTGGGACTTGGGAAGGACAAAAACGGATAATGCTGTTGACTAAACGGAAATACCCTTGCTTTTTGGTAAAACTACTAAAAGTGCCACTGTCAGTACTCTTCTTTTTATTATTTTCATAGATACTCGATAGCGACAGCAGAAGAAGGGGGGGCTCTATGCGCTTCTTTTTTTATATATTTTTCTCTTCTCTTTGTTTGTGATCCCGTCTACCGATCTACTTTTGGGTTTTCGGAACTCTCTAACATGCGCCGTGTTGTAGGAGGGAGGTCAAACAGGGGAGGGGGAGGTGGGAAAGCCGGAAAGAGGGGAACATGATTATGACGTGGCGAAATACTAAGACATCTTTCGCCATTATTACCATCATGTCCTTCCTTCATGGGCTTTGTTTGGACGTCCATTTTGGCATTTTGGAATCAAGTGCCTCTGCCCCTGCTTTTTCTCCGTCGGTGCGGGTCCCACTCCCCCTGATCCACGGTGCATGCCGCATCCGTGTTTGCCTTAGAAACCACTCAAACCACCTCAATCGGGTCGACCAATCCAGGCCCGTTTAGTTGTGAGCCCCGTTCATCATGATATGCCCCCACTTTGCTTTGTTTGTTGGTGATCTTGATGCTTTGATTCGCATTTTTAAGTGCTCTATTTCATCCAAGCACGTTTTCAAAACTGGGAGAAGAAGAAAGAAAGTTTCCTTAGGGTGATAGGGTCCACCCACGATATACTGCATCTTGTTGGGTTTTATAATTAGAGAAGTGCCAAAAGAGATAATCTTAGTTTGAGTGCTAGGCACATTCAGCCAGAGAGAGAACCAAATATGGTAACCAAATAATGGATTAATGTTAGATTACAAGGAAAGATTCTAGGTGGTTATCATTAGATTAGTTTATGTTAGTTTTAAATTCAACAAGTTGGATTAGTTGATGACTTATTTTATTTTTTAATTTATTAAGGCTATGGATGTTAGTGGAAATTGATTTGTTAGCATAATCATATACTTTAAGTAGGTGTGTGGCATCAGTGGTCGGAGCATTACACCATTTTCTCATAAAAATGGTACTGGGAATGATGAGTTATAAGTATGTTTTCTTAGAAACGGCATTTATTTTTTGTTTGAAACCGATGTTGCCATATAGGCATTTTTTTGAGAAAACGATATTGGTTTTGTTTGATACCAGCATTGGTAGCAATGTTTTCAACATTGACCTATATTATCCAGCATTCAAAATGATGTCACGTCATTGCCACCGCTAGCAGCACCACGTCGTTTTCTTAGAAAAATGGCACCAAACAAAAAAACGTTGTTTGAAGCACCACTTTCTCTTATGTAGTGCCACCGTGCCATTTTCTCATAAAACAGCATCAATGTTAAACATTGCCTAAAATAATCTTGTGATTGAACATATTTACAGGCCAGGCTTAGGACTTTGCCGATGAACATTTTACATTATTTCGAGCCCATTTAAAATTTGGCAAAAGATAAACTCAAGCCTGACCCATGAATAATTGTGAGGGATTAGATGGATGGTCAAATTGTAAGAAATGGGAACCGATCACCCATTTGGGTTCTGGTTAAAGACTTGAAGGATGGTTTCTATAAATTGAGCAAGGTCATTGCCCGATTAGCTAGTAAAATCGTGAGCCATTGATCATTCCAGTTTTAATCTGATTTGATTCTTTATAACATTTTAAATAATCTTACTATGATGTAGAATGAATATTTACTGGAAGTTAAATCTTTGTATCAACTAATCATGTTAAAAGCATCACGTAGTCTATTTATCTTTTCATTAATTTATCAATCGTGTAAAAGACTTTAATAACATTAAAAACATAAACTATAATATTTTGTTATCATTTACCCTTCTACACCATAATATTTTCCCATTTTAAAACATAATAATGTAAGTCAACATTGCCACCTGGCAAGCATATATCCATCCATACAAGATGATCGTGATTCAGAATGGCAGTCCCTCTGTGTATTTCCACGCTGGCACCATGTGAATGACGGGTGGGTGGGTCATGGATCTTGAAGCATGCTGTTTGAATACGGGTTTTTAATTGGATACCATAATATAATTATTGATTAAAAAATGACCGTCTTTTTGAGCACTTGATTTATCATAAAAAAAAAAAGACTCAACCGTGTGGGTTTAAGGCTGGAGCCACATGAGTTATTGGTTGGAAATTTGTGATTCAAACTGTGGGTATGAGATCTCACTTTTCCATAATTAGATGGGGTAACCCACGTGCGCACATTAGATTGTGCGACCACCAGCATCTCTCTGAATGTTCAGGGCTTTAATTAATTATTTAATTATCTGACTATTATGTGGTGTACTTAGACTGGTGTGATTAAGTACTACCGACATTTGATTTTTTTTTTCTTTTTATATAGAGAGATATACCGACATTTTGAATTAATTACACTTTGGGAGCACACTTGAAATCATAGTTATTAATTAAGCACAAAAGCACATAAAAAATGGTATGGGTCGGGTTTAACCTTCTTCATTCTGGCCAGACCAAATAAAAAAGGATTTAAAAGGGAAATGAGAAGCCGCTTAGGGTCTGTTTGGGTTTGCGAATTGCGAGAATAGGGATCTGAAATCAGACGTTTGGTTGGCTGGAATTGAATTTCGATTCTTATTTTTAGTGGAAGGGCATTATCCCATTTTGAGGGAATGGTCATTCCTCCCCTTCCCTTGGGAATGAGAATCTTATTCTGGCTAATTTTGATTCTAATTCCAATTCTAATTCTCATCTAAACCAAATAGGTGGGGGTAATAGACCATTGTGATTTCAAATTTCGATTTTGGCTATGAACTAAATGAATCCTTAATTGGTTGGTTTGAAAGTGATTATTCTTGATCCTCTGCTTTTATTTATTTATTTATATTTTTTGTGGTTTTAAGTGCCAAAGCTCATAATTGGAATCAAAGTTTTTGAATCGTCATTGATTCGGATGGTCAGACCGTTTAGCTTAGGAACTGTCCAAGTAACCAGTTTTGTTTTATCCCAAACCTGATTTTGGTCAAAAACCGATGAAAAAGTCATTAATCCGTTGATTCAGACAGTCGAATTGTCGACCCGTTGACCCATTCAACGGTTTTGACCAATTTTTTTTAATTTGTTTGTCAGAAAAGGCCGTCCATTTGAACCGGACAGTCGAACCGTCAACCCGAAAATCAATGGCCAAAACGATTTCATTTCTGAGTCATTTTTTAAAACGTTGATTGGAATTAGAAAAATCAATCAAAATACAAGGGAGAGGGGTACTGCAGCAAAAGTGGGGTTTTGATAAAATAAAATCCAAAGATCAATAAAAATCGGATCAAACCATAAAAATTTTCTAAAAAATTGGATTAAGTAGGATTAATGGAAGAAAAGGTATATGAAAGTCTCTGGATTGGGTTGCTTTGAATGAGTGGATGGAAGAAGAGGTCAAAATCTCCTCCTTGGAGATCAAGATATTATACAGTTTTTCAAAGAGAGGATTCTTCCACAATCTTTTGTTTGTCAGGTTAATTAATGGTTCGGTTGCATCGTGGTGTAAATTAAATTATACTATATCGTGGATTGGTCTATATCATAGGGCAGAATATTGTCTACAGTTATTTTTTGTGGACAGTTCATTGTTATCGGAACATTTA